AACTCTGAACAAATCATAAAAACAAGTATTGTAAGGCTCTAAAGCAGTGGTTCTCAACCTTCTGGCCCTTTAAAAACAGTCCTCATGTTGTGACCCAACCATAAAATTATTTTCATTGCTACTTCATAACTGTAATGTTGCTACTTTTATGAGTCGTAATGTAAATATCTGATATGCAGGATGGTTTTAGGCGACCCCTGTGAAAGGGTCGTTCGACCGCCAAAGGGGTCGAGACCCACAGGTTGAGAACTGCTGCTCTAAGGGGTGACCATATTATGCAGTAAACCTGAGGGTACCTTCTGTCTACACTGTATGGATACTGAAAATAGCAGAAATTGCCCCCTTGCATGTGTGAAGAGTCAGAGTTTGAGGCTTCCAAAAATGGCAGAAAAGTGAAGGCAGGCATCCAGGAAGGAGAGAGAAGCATATGGAGGAGCACAGAGATTTCATTTAAACTGCATAACTTTTTTTTTTGTACCTGAATGACACACAAGTAGGGGAATTCCAATGTTTTCAATGAGAACGACCACTGAAAATATGAAGAGCTGCTTCCAAACCAATGATATAGAGTTTGGAGTTTGATCTCAGCCATGCTAACATCCTTCTATAATAAATAGTATTATTACTTAGGGGAAGAAAATAGAGTCAAAGGACAATAAATATGGCAATAATAAGAATGAAAATTAAATAATGCTAGAAAGACTTCATTCTCAGCCTATCTTCACTATATGATATCTTGAAGGAAGTTCTTCATGCTGAAAGGAAATAATACCAAATGGAAACTCTGATTTATAAGAAGAAACATAAACCTTGAAAATGGGAAATGTCTTGGCAAATGTAATATACTAGAGACCTAGTGCACAAATTCGTTCACAGGTCGGTTCTGACCAGCCGGGGGCGGGGGGGAGGGCCACGGGCGGTTGGCTGGCCAGTGTGCCGCCTGGTCGAACTCTCAGTCTAACTCCTGGTAGAGGGGACAATTTTCATATTAGCCTTTTATTATATAGGAGGATAATTTTCCTCTATTAATTTCTTTAAAGCACGAACAACTATTTAAAGCAAACTTTACAATACTCAATTATGGGATTTATAACATAAGTTTAACATATGACAAAAATAATACAGCAAATGGAACTCCATAGGTGTAATATTTTTACATCTTATGTGAAATAGAACAAATTAACTCCAGACCATACAAATGACAATCAAAACAGCAACAATTAAAAAAGTAAACAGATATAGCTATAATAAAATAAGAAATAATATTTAACTAACCAAAAAGAAAACAAGAAATATATAGAAGCAAAACAAAACAAAAAATAGGAAAAATTGAAAACAAAAGCCAAATGAGAGACATACATTTACCATAGCAGTTACACTGAATGTCATGAGCTACCAAAAATCCCACTGAGGTTACATTCAGTTGGATTAAAACCAGACCCAACTTTATTTAGTCTCCAGAAATGTACATGTATATAAAGGCAGAAGTACTATGATAAAAAGATACATGTATACCATTTTCTTAAAAGCCTGAAAATATGATACAGCTGAATTTATATTAGAAAAAATATATTTAGGGTCAGAACTAGAAAGTCAATATTATAATAATAACAGGTCAATTTATCAGTAACTCCAGCCTACAACATGTAGAAAAGCAGGAACGCCCTGTCAACACACAGATTCATGAGAAATAATAATAGATGGTTGTTGTAGGTCTTTATGTGAATTAGTGTTAGTTACATAAAAATAATTGAAACAGAAATTAGTAGCTAGAAGTGAAGTGCTTTCATAACTAAAACACACACACACACACACACACACACACACACACAGATATAGGAAAGAGGATGAAAAGTGAGGCAATTTTAATGATGTCTAAAAGAGGAGTCAGGAAATTGTTGTTAGAAGCTGAAAAAATGGGAACCCTGTTCTATGTTGACCAAATACCACCAAGACTCTTGCCTGTGTTAATAAGAAAGATAGAAAAAAATGACCTCATAGACCTGGCATATAGGATTTCAGGGCAAAAAGATAAAATTACCAAATAGCTTCATTTAGTGGCCTACGTTAAAATAGGAGAAGGAGATGAGCTGATGAGCTTGTTTACAACCAGATTTTAGAAATATATTTTTTAACCCAGGACTGCTGTATTGGAAAACAAATATGATTGTTATTTCCAGACTCTGCAGCTGGAAAAGGATTTTCAAAATGGACTCGAGGCAATGATCAAATCCAGGATAGCATCAGTCAGGGGAAACATCATGGGAGCTTGACTTTTATACTCTGTTAAAACTATAGAATAGCCCTGACTGGTTTGGCTCAGTGGATAGAGCGTCGGCCTGCGGACTGAAGGATCCCAAGTTCGATTCCAGTCAAGGGCATTACCTTGGTTGCCGGCACATTCCCAGTGGGGAGTGTGCAGGAGGCAGCTGATAGATGGTTCTCTCTCATCGGTGTTTCTAGCTCTCTATCCCTCTCCCTTCCTCTCTGTGAAAAATCAATAAAATATATTTTAAAAAAACTATAGAATAATGTAGGGCAGAGGCCTGTGGACAACCTCAGCTGGACAAAAAATTCTTCTAAAAACCTTAAGCACACAGACAAACTCACACTCCAAGGTAGAGGGAGCATAATTCACAGAAAAATGTCAGTCTGGCAGCAAGCAAGCTGTGAACAGTACTCAGGTGTAAACATGAGCCATTACTTATGGCTTGCCCAGTAAGGCCATGGCAGTACTATAAGCCAGTCCTCACTATGTATCTTCCTACCTCTCCGCGCTTTTGAGTGTGTGTCCACTGCAGTACTCTTCTCTGCCTCAGCTTTGTGTATTGACAATATGAGTGAGCAGATAAATTATCTTTTTAATCTGTAAATCTCTGAATCCAGAAAAGCTATACCCAAGCACTAAACAAAACAAAGACAAATAAAAACAAACAACAAAACAACACACAAAAATACCCCAAGAAATTATGATCAAGTAGCCTCTTCTATACAGGAACTTAGTGTAAATAATGATAGACTAGTTTTTTCAGCTAATTCCAATAGGACAATACATGTGTCGGTGAAAAGAGTTTAGTTTCTTGTCGAACCGGTTTGGCTCAGTGGATAGAGCGTCAGCCTGCAGACTCAAGGGTCCCGGGTTCGATTCCGGTCAAGGGCATGTACCTTGGTTGCGGGCACATCCCCAGTGGGGGGTGTGCAGGAGGCAGCTGATCAATGTTTCTCTCTCATCGATGTTTCTAACTCTCTGTCCCTCTCCCTTCTTCTCTGTAAAAAATCAATAAAATATATTTTTAAAAAAAGGAACAAGTCACCAGAACAACCACTACTTAAAGTGAATGCTGATGTGTTCACCTGTCCTTCTCAAGAAGGCCCTGCTGTCAGTAATTCAGACAAATGAATCGTAATGTAAATATCTGATATGCAGGATGTATTTTCATTGTTACAAATTGAACATAATTAAAGCATAGTGATTAATCACAAAAAAATATGTAATTATATATGTGTTTTCCGATGGTCTTAGGCGACCCCTATGAAAGGGTCGTTTGGCCCCCAAAGGGGTCGCGACCCACAGGTTGAGAACTTCTGATCTAGAGGATGTGATTTATAGTGGCCTGAGTGGTACATACATATTAAAGAGGTGACAGATTTATTTATTTATTTATTTATCTATCTGTCAACTGGGCCTAGTTGACTAACCTTGTGTCCCTATGCTGAGCTTAGACTTCCTCACAATATGGTGGTCCAGGGGTAACAAGATTTTTTTCTTTAAGTCCGATTTTTTTTTTATTTTTTATTTTTTTGACAGCATTGGTTCTCAAATAGAGAGGATTTGTCCCTCCAGGAGGCATTTTTTAATGGTATATTTTTATTGATTTCAAAGAGAGGAAGGGAGAGGGAGAAAGATAAACAACAATCATGAGAGAGAATCATTGATTAGCTGTCTCCTGCACGCTCCCCACTGGGGATCCAGCCCAACCCTGGAATATGCCCTGACCTCCTGCTCCATGGGTCGATGCTCAACCACTGAGCCACATAGGCTGGGCCCTCCAGGAGACATTTGGGAAAGTCTAGAGATAGTTTTGGTTGTCAAGACGGAAGAGGTGACGGGGACAGTTAGTGGTCATGTTATGGGGTTAATTGTGCCCTCCCAAAATTCATATATTGGAATCCTAACCCTATGTACCTCAGAATTTACCCTTATTTGGAAATAGAATATTGGTTCCTTATACACAGTTTCACTTTCCATGGTTTCAGCTACCTATAATCAGCTACAGTAGAAATGGTAAGTGGAAAATTCCAGAAATAAGCAATCCATACATTTCAAATTGCATGCTGTTCTGAGTAGTGTGATGAAATCTCTCACTCCATTCCTCCTGGCTGGTAAATCATTCCTTTATCCAGTGTACCCACACTATTTATGCTACCTGCCTACTAGTCACTTAGCCATCTTGGTTATGAGATCTAAATGTCATTATATTGCAATGTGTATGTTACTTAAAAATTCCACATTTGTGTTATAACGAGCAAGACAGTGCCACACAAAAAAAGTACTTGGTAAAAGTGTCACTATTGCTGAGACTGTAAAACCTACTCTAGGGGCAAGTATTTCTGGAGGTAGAAACTGACAGTCTCTTAGGTCTAGTCTCCAAAATTGACAAAGGGACACTTCTGCAGTGTTACATTTAGCAAATATTCCCAGGACTCATCCAGACTTAAGAAGAGGGGATATTGTTACTTTGTCTTTTAGTGTCTGCCATGTGACCATACTTATTTCTATTTCATATGCATGCAAAATACATACTCTCATCTAAAACCATAAAAGTCATCTTCCTTGAAAACATCAGAATTAGGTTCAGATTAGAAATAAATCTTTCTAAAAAAGTTTGTGTGTTTTTTCAAAAGGTGAAATAGCATAAAAAACTTAGGATTATATTAAGTTTTATAAATGTCAGTGCAAAAACTATAAAACACAGCGGATAAAAATTAAAGGAGATTTTAAAAATGGAAAAATGTAACCTGATCATACATTAGAAGAATGAATATGATTAAAATGATATATAAATTCAATACAACGCCTATTATAATGCAAACAGTTTTCTTTGAAAAATTGGCTAGTTGATTTAAAATATGGATATGTATGAACTTAAGACAAAACAATCTCCTGAATAAAAGAACAAGTCTGAAGAAGTTATACTATCTGACTTCATACGTTGATATCAAGAGGATGTTTTATTGGAAAGTAAGGTAGGAAGGGAGTAGAGGAGGGGTTTGAGAGGGAGGGGAACTGATTAATAGAACAATTGATTAATCAAAAATAGAACTAAAGCTACATAATTAGTTTACTTTGAGCAATTTAATAGGCAAATGAACATATTTGCAACAAATGGTAATGGAGTTAGTAGATATTTATGTAGGAAAAAGTGGCATTGACTTCTACTTCCTACTGTAAACAAAACATGAATATTAGATCATTGATCTTTATGTAAAAGCTGAAACTATGGACTTTTAGAAGAAAAGACAGACAGAAACTCTTTTAGACCTAGACAGATGCTTTTCTTTATTAGAAAAGGCAAAGAGAACAATATATATTTTAAAAAACATAATTCAGATGAATCAAATTAAAACTTTTTGTTCACCATAGATACCATAAGAAGTGGAATGAAGGCCTATGGTGGGGCAGAGGCTGGTGGAGAGCAAAGGGAGGGATGGGGGATATCTGTAATACTGTCATATATATATATATATATATATCACATATATATGCACAGATCTATATGTGTCCCAGTGCACAGATTCATGAACATAGAAAGGAAATTAATTAGAAGAAGTATTTTAATATCGCTATTCACCCTTTCTCTATAATAGAAGTGTCAACCAAATTCACAATCGACAATGACAGATTGAAACACACACATGCAATTAGTGCCAGCGAGAGCCTCTCTGTAAAAAGTCAGTAAAATATATTTTTTAAAAAAAATGAGATAAAGCCTGGAAAACGTTTCACAGACATTTGGTTAAAGTGTAAAATGTTTGCACCTGGCTATAAAGCAAGTCATGTTCCTGGGCTGAAGAAACTGCAAGGGGGCTAGTTGCTAGGGAGAGGAAGCCGGGCATTGCTATGTGACATCATTACCTGGCGCCCACAGCCACCATCTAAGGGCTGAGCTGCGCTGTGGGCCACATTTTGCACCATGGGGTCTCAGCAGCATTAGCTGCGATTTGGTGGGCTGTCGCTCCGGGGGGATGGCAGGGCCTGTGTCCCACTTGGAGGAAGACAAGTTTTGCTTTGTCAGCACCAGGTCCATGGTGCCGTTTCTCTGTAAATGGCCAGTGCGCGTCACAGCAGCTCCTGTGAGTCTGCCTCCTGGAGGTCAGTGTGTGTCATAGTGACTGGTTAGATGGTCGGACATATAGCATATCAGCCTTTTATATATGTAGATATTTAAAAATAAAGAAAATAAATAGTTAAGAATGAAAGAAAATATATGCAAACAGCTATCTGACTAAATGCCTAAAAGCAGAATATACATAGAACTGTAATTCAATAATGTAAAAACAACAAAACACTAAAAATAATTAAATATAAATGACTGAAACCAACATTCATAAAGGAAGATAAGCAAATCAAAAATTTCTTGCCATCATTAATCATCAGTTTATAGCAAAATTAAACTAAAAGTGGATACTCCTCCAAAGTGTCTAAAATTAAAAAAATTGTTGTTGAAAATGTGAAATAGAACTTTTTTACATTAACAATAAAGAGATAAATTTGTTGATAGAGAAAAAATGTAAAAAATTGATAAACTGAAAGTTACTTTTAAAATTAAACATATGCCTAGTATAAGTGCAATGATTGACTCCGAGGTATATAAGTAAGTGAATTAAAAGTATTTGTCTATAAATACCATTTACAAACATGTTTATAACAATTGTTTTCATAGTAATTTAGACCTAGAAACAAGCCAAATGTCTGCCAACATGAAAATATAGAAACAACTAGTGATATGTACATACAACAGCCTATTACTCAACAATTAGAAGGATCAAACCAGTGATACACAACAGTATCTCAGAAACAATGATGAACAAAAGGACAGACAGAGAGAAGAACGTATACTAGCATTCCACTCACGTTTTTTATCAAATAGGAAAAAAAATGAGAAAAGCGTAAGTTTTCAAGATTGAGAAAGGAAATGGACAGATTTTCTGATGTATTAAAAATGTTCTAAATCTTAAAGAAATACATGTGGGTTGAAAGGTATATACATTTGTAAAAACCCATCTAATGTTTTTATTGTTTTGTTTTGTCTTTGTTAATCCTCACCCGAAGATATTTTTCCATCGAGTTTTGTGTGTTTTTTTTTTCATTCCCCCACAGCGACTTCTCCTTGCCTGGTCTCTTTCATCGAGTTTTAAGTGGAAGAGAGAGGGAAAGACAGAGAAACATCGGTGTGAGAAAAAACATAGGATTTGTTGCCTCCTGCAGGAGCCCTGACAAGGGCCTGGGCCCAGGAGGAGCCTGCAACCAAGGTACTACCCTTGACAAGAATCAAACCCAGGAACTTTTGGTCTGCAGGCCAACGCTTTATCCACTGAGCCAAACCCATCTAATATCTAGTTAAGATTTATTCTATTTAAACCTTAGCAAAAATCAAGACTGAGATTTCTCATTAATAGTTTTGCTTTCTGCAGTTGTTTGGTTAGTAATTCTAAAACTTTTTCTGTGTCTGAGAGCTTTAAGCTAATTAGTAATTATGTTAACACTAATGCATCTAGATTTCTCACTGTTGGAGAAGGAATTTATAAACATGGAAAGGAAAGTAACTAAAAGACACCCTGTGGTATTAGCTATAACTTGGAGGTATGAGAATGAATTCATGGTTTTTAATTAATAGAGAAACACAAATATAACTATATATGTACACACAAGCATTCATTATACTGTACTGTATTGTACTATCCTATATAATACTATACTATACTAGAGTGTACCGAGTGGTGTTACATAATTAGTTGAAATTGCATGTATTCATATGAACCTTATTTGTGTGTGTCTGTATGTATATCTGTAAATATGCACAGATAAATAAATATATGTGTGTATGCATAGGTTTATATGTATAAATGTATATAGATACTTATACATATGACAGTTGAGCAACTTTATCACACATATCTTGATTTCTAAATATCATTATTTACTTCAAGGACCCCTGGCTTTTTAGAAAAAAGACAAATTTTAAGCCTGGGGAATGGAAAATATAAGGTAAACCATAACAAACTTATTCTTAAAAAAAAAAATAAAGTACTGAAACAAAAATAGAATTTATCAGGTGAATACAAAAGGGTCAGCTTCCACTGGCTAAATTGTTTTGAAAAGTGAGCATTAAAATAAATAATAAATTGAATGAATTATACTCAATTGAACAATATAATAATTGATACCTCAATTCTATAAATACATAATTAATTGAAAAATCAACAAGTGTTTGAGAAGCATAAAGGAAATGTTGTTTATTATGTCAGGATATCAAGTAAGATATATGAAAATAATATATAAGAGTTATAAAATCATCAGTTGTTACTAGAACTAATTGGTGAATGATTTGTAAGAGAGAGGATGTGTACATAATCTCAAAATAACTCTCCAAAAATTACGTAAATTCAAAGGGACAAATTATAAGTTATGTTGTTGTTGTTGCTAATCCTCACCTGAGGATATTTTTTCCACTGATTTTTAGAGAGAGTGAAAGAGAGGGGGATAGACAGAGAGAGAAACATTGATCTGAGAGAGACATTTTAATTGGTTGCCTCCTGCAAGGGCCCTGACCAGGGTTAGGGATCAAGTCTGAAACCAAGGTACCTGCCCTTGACCTGAATTGAACCCGGGACCCTTTAGTCCATGGGTTGATGCTCTATCCACTTAGCAAAACCAGCTAGGGCAGTTTTGATTGAAATAACATTATTAATATTGGAAAAACTTTAAGTATCACCTAAAATGAT